TTAATTTGTGTATTTATGTATCATAGAGAATTATATTTTTTAACTGTGTGTTTTAGTATCTAAAATATTTTATTTTTTTACTCATTTTTTAAAATTTATATTAATTAGGAATCTATTGTGTGTTTTATGTATATATCTTATCTATACAATAATAGTGAAAACAATATAATTTTTCATTTAATTATATTTAATATAGGTTGAAGTTGTTAGACAACATTAGGGAGAAACCCAAATCATTGAGACAAAAATGATTCTAATAATTTATTGCATTATATAATGGTTATTATTATTTAATTATATAATTGTATAATAAAATTTAAACGTTTAAATTTTATTAAAATAAAATAAAAGAACAATAAATTAATAAAAATATAAATATAAATAAAATTAATAATCAATAATTAATAATCAATCTTTAATCGNATAATCGCATGGCAGTGATATCGGCGCAGATTTTTGGTATATGGACATATCGTGTAAGACGTTTAAATGACGATATATTTCCATTTAGAACGTCTTACAATATATTCATATCAAAATCTGCGCAGATCGCTGCCATGCGACTGTTATTTATATCTGTAAAACAAACGTGAGATTTTCCAAACTTATTATATGGAGGGTATATCGTATATGTATATATATATCGCGGGGAGATTATATATATACATATTACATACATACATATATCTACAAATATATATATATATAATTTCCCCGAATACATACCTTACCAAGTACGTAATAGTGCGGATGTAAAACTACTACTGCGGATGTAAAACTACTAGTGCAGATGTAATACTAGTAGTGCGGATATAACACTACTAGTGCGGATGTAACACTACTAGTGTGGATGTAACACTACTAGTGCAAATTTCAATAGTGCGCGAAATTACTATTGATCTAGTGTGCACTAATAGTTCTATAGTTTTCAATTCAATAGTTTCTTTCCGTACGGATGGAATTAAATCTCATGTAGAGATTATTCCAATTTTAAATATGGCCGAGACCAAGTAAAATTTAGTGCCTTGTGCACAGATTTTGAAACTCTAACGAAAAAATTTAGTTTCGTTGGGATAACGCACTGTCATCCGCGATTTGGCTCTTATTGCACTGATGACTTATCGCACTGAGTGGAAAGAAGTTAAAAAGAAAAAGCAACCGAAAAAAAAGCAGCAACACGTCCTACTGCTCTAATCATTCGTCCAACCCAGAAGGAACAGTATGCTGAGATCCTCAAGAGGGTTAAGAAAGATGCTTCCGCAGATCGTATAAGCCAATGTGTGGATAAAATTAGAAGAACCAATACGGGGGATATGCTTCTTATCCTAGCGAGAAACCAAACAGGTGACTCGCAGGAGATGAGAAATACTATTTCTTCAGTCCTTGGAGAGGACGCTACGGTGGTCTGTAAGGTACCCGAACAGGATCTAGAGATCAAGGACCTTGATGAAACCACAACGGTGCCTGAAATCCTAGAAGCACTACAGAACATAGCTGGTGAAGGACACCATTACTCTGAAGACTGCATCAAGTCCCTCCGCAAAGCATACGGAGGGACACTTACGGCGTCAATTAAAATGGAAGCAGGATTGGCCAGAACCTTATCAGAACGGCGAAACATTAAAATAGGTTGGGTCAACTGTAGAATAAGAGCTACTCAAAGACCTATAAAATGCTTCAGGTGCTGGCACTTTGGTCATGTTGCAAGCAAATGCAGCAACAAAGAAGACAGATCGAAGACTTGCGCCAAATGTGGAGAAATTGGCCACAAAGCCAAAGAATGCAGTAAGGAAGCCCGATGTGTTCTCTGTGTGGCTAATGGAAATACTGAAGACTGTGCTCACATTGCAGGATGTGGTAATTGCCCTGTATTTAAAAAAGCCCTCCAGGTGGTAAGGCGGCCCCAAAAATGATTAGAGCGCTGCAAATCAATCTCAATCACTGTGAGATTGCCCAAGACCTACTTATGCAAACTGCACGAGAGCTAAAGTTAGATATAGTTCTAATCTCAGAACCCTATAAGCAGCTCAGTAGCCTAAACTGGATCACCGATGTGCATGAAAAAGCTACCATCTGGGCATGTGGCACGACACCTCTCCAGGGTAGCCAAAGAAAGGGCTCCGGATTTATAAGAGCCAAATTCGAGGGCATACAATTTTACAGTTGTTATGCACCACCTAGCCTAACACAGGAAGAGTTTGCTGAGTTCCTGGACCAATTAGTGGAAGATGCCCGAATGTACTCTCCTGTAGCCATTGCTGGAGATTTTAACGCATGGGCTGTAGACTGGGGTAGTAAAGCGACCAATACGAGAGGCTGCCTGCTTTTGGAGGCGATGTCGCTACTGGACGTCGTCTTACTCAATACAGGCGATAAGCCCACGTTCATAAGAGGCGAGGCGAGTTCAATTGTTGATCTGACTTTTGTTAGCAGTACACTGGCAAGAGGAAGTAACAGTTGGGGGGTCTCCGATATTTACACCGCTAGCGACCACTGTGCCATATACTGGGAGGTATCACCTAATAAATTGTATGCAAATAGAGTACAAGTACCATGTACAAGAGCTAATCCAGTGGGCTGGAGAACTAGCACGTATGATCCCGGCCTGTTCAAGATAGCACTTGAAGATCGACCGTTGCTGGCAAAAGCGCAAGTGAAAAGGCAACTGAAATCACATTGAGACTGACTAAGGCCTGCGATGCAACAATGCCACGGCGACACAGTAACAAGCGATTTCTACCGGTGTACTGGTGGAATGAAAACATCTCTGAGCTGAGGATAAAATGTGTAAAGGCTCGCAGAACGGCTCAACGGGCTCGGAAAACGCCACTATTTGAGCAGCTTTACAACCAGTATAAAGAAGCACGGTTAAAATTAAATAAAGCCATTAAAGAGAGCAAGAGAAACACATGGACCATGCTATTGGAAGAGGTTGAGAAGGACCCATGGGGCAGGCCATACCAGATTGTCGTTAAGCAACTGAGACAAGAAAAATCAACGCCCACCTGTCCTATTCTACTGCGAAAAATTGTAAGTGTCCTATTCCCGACGCAACCAAAATCCTCCTTCCAACTTGGGGTTGAGGAATCAGAAGAGATCCCACCTATAACGGAGAAGGAACTAATGCTAGCGTGCGGTAGGTTTAGAAATAACAAAGCTCCAGGACCAGATGGGATTCCCAACGTAGCCCTCAAACAAGCTGTTACGGCAACACCAGGAGTTTTCTTGGAGACCTACAATGCCTGCTTACTGGAACGCACCTTCCCCACTTTGTGGAAACGACAGAGGCTAGTACTCCTCCCTAAAGAAAAGAAGCCACTAGACGAGCCATCATCATACCGACCACTCTGTATGCTGGATACTGCGGGGAAGATCCTGGAACGCATTATCCACAACAGGATCGAAGAAGCGGTCGAACCCCAACTAGCCGACTCACAGTTTGGCTTCAGAAAAGGCCGGTCTACGCTAGATGCCATAGAGCAAGTAGTCAGCACGGCAAAACAAGCAGTGTCTGGGAAAAGATGGAAGGGGGCTCCATAAAATATTGCTTGGTTGCCACGTTAGACATTAAAACGCCTTCAACTCAGCGAAATGGGAAATTATCATAGAAGCTCTTAATTCACTGAAAGTACCTTTATACCTACGAAAAATAGTCGCTAGTTACTTCTCTGACAGGGTTCTGACATACACCACGCAAACCGGGCGAGAGGAGTATAAGGTTACTGGTGGCGTCCCGCAAGGGTCAGTACTAGGGCCACTTTTATGGAACGTCATGTACGATGGACTTCTGAAGCAAAATCTACCCAGTGAAACTAAACTCGTTGCATTTGCTGATGATCTAGCGGTTGTGATAGTAGCGAAATACCTGGAGGAAGTGACATGGACATTTGAAAGAACGTTCCAAATAATTACTCAGTGGATGAAGTCGGTCGGGCTAGAACTCGCTGAGCAGAAGACGGAGGCGGTTTTAATTACTGGCAGGAGAGTCGCAGAGACCATCACGCTCAATGTCGGGAACTCTGAAATTGCAACTCAAACAGCTATTCGATACTTAGGAGTAATAATCGACCATAGGCTTAACTTCAAAGAGCATGTGGAGACAGCTGCAACGAAAGCGTCCCTAGTGACAGCCAAACTATGCAGACTCATGCCTAATGTCGGAGGTCCCAAACAAAATAGAAGAAAGCTACTAGCGTCGGTGACAGCATCTGTGCTCATGTACGGTGCACCCATATGGTCTGAGGTGCTGAGCAAACAAGAGTCCAGACGGAAGCTCGCCTCAGTCTATAGAGTCAGCACACTCCGAGTAGCCAGCGCCTTTCGTACAGTTTCGGAAGATGCGGCATGCGTGATAGCGGGTATGGTTCCCGTTACGATTCTTGCAGAGGAAAGGAAGAGTCTGCGTCAAAACAAAAAATGCAGCTCGCACCTGACTATGGTGGAGCTTCGAACCCAGGGAAGACTGAAGAGCTTGCAACAGTGGCAATTGCTCTGGGATACGTCGACGAAGGGAAGATGGACCCACAGGCTAATACCAGACCTAGAGCCATGGGTAAACCGGAACCATGGAGAGTTAAACTACTACCTGACCCAGATGATATCCGGCCATGGCTGTTACCGGGCGTACCTTCATAGGTTCAAACACGAAGATTCCCCTGAATGTCCCAACTGTGTAGGGACAATTGAAGATGCAGAGCACGTCTTTTTCGTGTGTCCTCGTTTCATGGAAGCCAGGAAGTCATGGGAAGATGGAATAGGATGCAAAATCTCTCCTGAAAGTATGATACCCACAATGTTAATCTCGTCTCCAGCCTGGGAGCTTACAAGTACTTACGCTACGACCGTGTTAAAGGAGCTGCGGAAAATAGAGCGCGAGCGGAAGAAGCTGGCCTAAACAGCCACTTTAACAGAGAAAGCTGCGGCTAAATCATCCCCCCGCGAAGTTATGCCTGGCGGCCATGCCGCGGGGATCCAAAGAAACTGGTGAAAGAGGGCTATTTTTAGTCGGTATTGTCGTTAAGATTGAGTCCGACACTCTGTACGCAAATGTATTTTCTAACCTCTTAAAAAAAAAAAAAAAAAACACGCACGCACGCACGCACATTAAAAAAATACCTGTGACGAATATTTCTGCTTTTTGTGTTTGTATTGTTTTAAAAGTTCTTTTCCTTTTTTTACATTTAGAATACATTTCTATAAATAAAAAATCGTTATACTCTCTTATTCAATAGTATAAATTTATTTTTATAGCATGCGATTTTTAAAATCATGATTTATATCTACATAATTATGTATGTTATACCTTTTGTTTCGCATCCTTTTTTGTTTCTTTTACTCCTGATTCATCATTACTATCACATTCTGTATGGTTATTTTTACTCGTGAACTGTTTTCTATTACTTCTGTCAAGTTCAGTGATACCATACTTTTCTAAATTGTCTCTGATCTCACACATTTTAATCCATCCTAAAATTTCAATAAAGTGTTATCTCATATCTCTCTTCCTAAGCTCTTATCTAAAATTTTATAAAACTATTTTTATTCAATATTATTGATGCGCGCTTACCTCCATATGCCCGTAATTTTGTTGCAACCACCTCCCATTGACAATTGGCCAATTTTTTTTTCATTGTTGTTGCTACAGGGCCCACATCACAGTCTTTTGGCCATCGAACTTTCACTATCGTCCCGCGTTTAATTACATCATCTAATTCAATGTTTGTGAATTTATTTTCCAGCCATTCTAAATATCCAATAGATATGCTATCTTCTTCATTTGGAAACTCGCACACCATATATCTTTGGTCGTCCATTATCTATACACGAAATAATTAATCATATAATGATAAAATAAATTAATTATGAAATATTGAAATAATTATTTTGTCAAATGTAATATGTATAGGTTAATTGACTTTAATACAACGATTGCATTTATTAAATTATGATAATTCATAACTCAAATATATGTATATGTGAGGAAAGAAACTGAAAAGATATACTCTTGGTGATTATACATTCAAAAAATAACCTGTTCTACACATTTATGTCGTATAAATTACATCGAAGATTTCTTACTTACCTAAAGCAAAATCGATGTAAGCCGAAAACAAATGCCATTGCATCACTTTTTGTCGCGCGCACCGGATTTTTTTCGTGCATGCGCGGCGAACGTAGCTTCAATGAAGTATGTATTATTAAAGACTCCTTTTATTAGTCTTTTAATTATATTCGCGAATTTGTATTTTATATATCACACGCACAGTCTTTTCGATTTATTATTTTAAAATAATTTTTATTCCTAATATTTAATATTGATTTCTAATATATATTTTCTCTATTGTGCGCAATGCCTTAAAAAAGAATATATGTGTATGTATATATACATAAATAAATAAATAAAAAACGGCAGTCATTATATGGCCGCGCATATATATGCGCGAGAATGACACATGCTCGTTTTTGGTTAGTGCATCAATTTGAATCATCAGCAGAAATATTTTATTACGCGACTAATAGTTAATTGGTGTAAAATTCTATAGTATCAAAGATAAATGATATAGTATAAAGTGTAGTTCCAGTGTGTTCCGCAGAAAAAGATTCATATAAAAAGACGTTTAAGAGGTATAATTTTTAATATATTATAAATAATATTTATACTAAGCTTAAGAATGATTTTGTTTCATATAAATAATAGCTTTCGTACATCATTTTTGAACTCATCTCCATATGTATATATTCGTGTGTAATTGTACGTAAAAATGGATGAGAATAATATATTGATTAGAAGAGGATGTTATAAACGATATTTACAAGATGACGATGTACCAGTGCCCGAATCAACAATTCGTTCTCGTAGACGACGAGAACAGATGCCATTACAACAGGTCAGTATATTATAAAATGTAAAGGAAAGAAAATTATAAATATATGTATTATTTATAATATATTAAAAAATCCTTTAATTCTTATTTATTTGCAATAGAGTGTATATTTCTTTATTTATTTAGGAACAAGAAATTAATGTTGATGATTCTATGATATCGAGACAACCATTTGTGAGTTCTAATGACAACACACATACCATTGCTGCTGAAGACATTTCGGAAGATAGTGATTCAAATATAAATGGTCCAATATCTGGCAATCCAGAAAATAAGAATGATACAGTGAGTGTAATCATTGAATCAAATTTCAATCTTTCGGATGAGATCTCAGCATGTTCGAGCGAATCTGATGTTGTGATCGCCAATGATGACGCATCGGATTTGGAAGAAGATATAGTTCAAGACTATGATGAATTCTTAGATGAGTCTGCAGAGAATGTAGCATTTGTGCCACCAGAGAACAATGATCAGGTACAGGATTCGAGTAAATTGAGATGAGTTATTTGAATTGAGATAAATTTTTCTGATGTAAATAAAGCTTTGCAGTGAAAAATCTGTCACAATTGCATCAAAAGATGTCAAGGATAGATATATTCAGACTCTCTAAAAAATTATGTGTGCGCTATAGATCTTAATTACTTACATTTAAGAATAACTTCAAATATAAAAAAATAATAATCGAATCCATATTTAATTTACAGGAACGAGTCCCATTATATGAACAATCGAATATATCCAAGATAGAAAGTGAACTCCTCATATTAAACTTTGCGATACGACACAATCTAACTGATGTTGCTCTTGAGGACCACATCACTTTGATAAACTGTCACCTACCATACTCAGTATACCACACGAAGTATATATTTATGAAGAAATATGATATTCCAGCATTGTTTACGCGAGATAGTTAGAGTTTTCAAAGATCCCGGGATTCGCACATGAACTGTATGAAAATCCCGTTTTCACTGGAGACATCAAAATTAACCGAACGATAGGATAGAGGAAAGATAAAATATCACTGCTTAAGAAAGATGACAAACTGATTTGATCTTTTAAGAGTTTTATTTGAGAAACACACAATTGAGATGGAGACAAAAACTGAATCCGAACATATAGCCTTCGCGCGACAACCTTGCTTGATCAGAGAGCTCAGCTCAACTGCCGTTGACGAGGTGTCGAGAGACAAGAATTCCACGTCGTAAGGGTGAAAAACGGGGAGCAAGGTATGTTTATTTGAGTGCGAATCAGCTGATCGGTAGCTGATCGCCAGCTGATCGGCAGCGAAAAACAACAAGGAATGTCACGGTCGCGGCATCGTAACAATACGAGATCGAAATAATATATTTGTCACGCTGAAATAATTGGCTATACAAAGGCGTAATATATAAATACAATGATCGAAAACTATGCCGAAATATAAGATTGATCGATATGCGATAACTTTACTTGTCAAACTCCAACAAGCATCAATTCGTAAATGCTATTATTGTCCAGAGTGTTATGTAAGATTGAAAACTAGTGCAGATGATAGAGCAAAAGAAAACCTTGTTTGCCAAGAGTGCCAATGTAGATATGATAACATACGTTGAGAAAAAGTGGTAACTATTTCCTATATTTACCTTTAAAACAGCAGTTGCGCGACTTTGTAAACAGCGACAAATATGCTTTGCTTCAAAAAGGAAACGATAATTATTCTGATATAACTTCTGGACAAGTGTATACATCTTTAAAAGATTCTGGGATAATTCAATTACATGATATCACGCTGCAGATCAGTTCTGACGGAGTTCAAGTGTTTCATTCATCGTCTGTATCTATGTGGCCTATACAGGTGATGATAAATGAATTGCCGTATAGAGAAAGGAGAAAAAATATGATGTTGTGTGGTTTGTGGTATGGTAAAGAAAAACCTGATATGAATTTGTTTTTATCTTTACTCGTCGAGGAATTGATCTCATTGCATGAAGTAGGCATTACACGTAACGTGCCAGGCGAAGAAGAAATTCATATTAGAGTACACACAATCGCGTCTCCTGTAGATTCTGTCGCGCGACCTTTATTACAAAATATAAAACAATATAATGGAAGTTTTGGTTGCAGCTTTTGCCTGCATGAAGGTATTCACATTGAAGTCGGTAAAGGAATGACAAGAGTATATCCTGGTTACGTAAAGGAACCGCGCACATTGCATCAACATGAAGTAGATTGTGAAATTGCTGTGCAAACTGGAACTACACCTCACGGTGTGAAAGGACCGAAGAACAGTTTTAATGCTACTACCGGTCTTTGATATTACATCTTCGTTTACACCTGATTATATGCATTCTGTTTTATTGGGAGTTACAAAAACTTTTACGGATGCTTGGTTTAACTCGTCAAATCACGAAAAAAAACTGGTATATAGGAAACAAAGTAGATCTTATTGACGAGAAGCTGTTGCAAATAAAACCACCGTGTGAAATTACTCGTACGCCCAGATCTATTAATGAAAGAAATTTATGGAAGGCATCAGAATGGAAGAACTTCTTGCTCTATTACTCTCTTATTTGTCTACAAAACGTAATGCCTTTACAATATGTAAGACACTGGTTTCTTTTTATCTGTAGCATGCACATATTTCTACAAGAAAAAATCAATGGCGTAGATTTTTCGACGGCTAAAAATGCATTGAAAATGTTCGTGTTTAAAATAGAAAATCTATATGGCTTAGAATATTACAAGTTTATGTACATTTGTTATTACATATCCCAAAGTTTGTTAAACAATTTGGGGCTCTATGGGCTACATCTACGTTTCCTTATGAACATTATAACGGAGTATTAAGGAAAATGTTTCGAAATTCGCAAGCTGTTCCGGAACAGATATGCAAATTATATATGAGATCAAAGCGCATTGAAAATTCATGTTTGAAAGTATTTTCAAGACCCGATTGTTTCGAAAATGCAAAAATTTTATATTATAAAATGAGTGAAATGTATCATTCAAAAAATTATCTAGAATATGAACCTTATTTTAAAATATTTGGAAAACCGGTTCAAAAAATGTTAACATTAATGGAGCAAACTTGTATAGAAGCTCTTTTACATGAAAATATATTAAACGAGTGTGATTGTTACAAACGTTTCATTTTTCGAAATGTATTGTGGCATGTCGAGAACTATGAAAAACTTCAAAGACGACAAAACAGTACAGTATTGCTACAGAATGGTATGTTTATAATAATAACCGGCATTTTTAATGTTCGTATTGTGCGGACAAATTATGTACGATGCGTTATTATTGGAAAGATTCTTAATCCTATTATTGATATGTAAATTTGTAAATTAAACAATCCAATACTTTCATCGAATCGTTTTTTTCACATTACTCGCATGACTGATTCTCTCATCGCTGTCTTTCCTGACATGTTATATGCCAAATGTGTAAAAATTCCATACAATAATGTAGATAATAAGTATTGCATTGTGCGCCTCGTAAATAATATTGAACGTGATTAATATATATACATATTGATATATATTATAAGATATATATATATATATATATATATATATATATATAAATTGTAACCCCAAGGGGAACAATAAATGTGATCTATTTATCTATCTATCTATATTCTATATTGATGTAAATAACGGATGATTCAGATGCTTCATTAAGCTTTTTACAGCGCACACGAAAAAATTAAAAATGATTATACGGATAAAAGATTAAGTAAATAAAGGGGTTAAAACAGTATGAGGTGACATGTTTAAGTCGTAAATGTCTACTTATGGTGTGGCGAAAGAGATGTTACTGTTGAACTCTACGAATATCAGAAACAACGGCTTCCTTTTTATGGTTAATACACCCAAAACAAAATATTAAATATGCTGGCATCAATATTAAATACCATTGCCTTATCTAATAATAATATTAAAAACACCATTGTTACCAAAGGGCACTAATTGATAATGTTACAATTTTTTGTAAAACATTAAAAACGACTTACAGATATAAAAATCTTATTCTTAATGAGGTCGTACGTTGTAGCATAATTGTGAATTCTACTGATATGTATATACAA